ACACTGAGACTGGTAGGAGGTGCAGAGGTGCAGAATGGGCTGGTCTGGCACCCAGGTGTGTGCTTTTTTAATCTCAAGGGAGGCTGCCAGAGGAGTGAGGGGTCCCAGCCCTACACCAGACGCCCAGCCCAGGGTCCCAGAGATGGGGAAAGAAGGCCCTACAGGCAATAAGAAATACGGACTGTAAAAACCAGAGCGGATTGGGGCTCAGTGACACACAGACTGCTGGAAACCCAGCTGCTCCTCTTAAAAGGCCAGCACCACGAACTGAATTTATAAGCTCCTGCTTGCTCTCAGCTCTAGTGCCAGACGAGGCTCTGGGGGACCCAGACACATACGGGAGAAACTGGACTGTCTGGCATTGGGGCAGGAACTCGGGGGCAGCTTCCTTCCAGATGGAGGTGCTCCCAGCAGTCATTGTTCCCATGCTGGGACCTCCTTGGTGCTGGGCTGACTGGTAGCCATTTCTTTTTGCTCTGCTCTGGTGATTCCCTGAGACTCCGCCCCACCCAATTTACAACACCACCCAAGCTGTGCACAGTGGCTTTTGCATATGAATGACCTATACTTTCTCAGTCTAAAACCTGTCAAACAAGTTGCAGCTGGGTCAGGGATCGCCAAACCTATCAATAAAAGGCCCAAGGCCAGCACCAGCACCAGCCTGCCTTGCTTCACAGATGGGCCTCTTCTGGGCACTTCCAAACCTGATACAAAGAGAAGGAATCTTTAGATCTCTCTGTAGCTCCTGCTGGGTGGCCCCAGGCAGTGGCTGACTTGGCACCTCCCTGGAAACCCAAGAGCCAGTGTACCCAGTGGTCAGTGTGAGACCATACCAGATTTCAACTCTTCATATCCATAAGTGACACACTCAAGGAGCAGACTCAGTGAGCACCAAAGCCCCACGAAGCAAGTTCTGGTCCATAAAGGTGTCTCCTGCACAGCAGCTCTCCCACTGTAGTCGAGCTGGTCCCCACAGCCAATTGGCCTGGAGGTCAATTCCTCCCAGTGACACCAACAGCAATCAAGGCTCAACTACAACAAAACTGCACACAGCTCACAAACGGGTGCACCAAGAGTGTTCACCTCAGATGACTGGGGAGGCTGAGCCACTGGGCCCTATAGGACACCTACTACACAGTCTCTATCAACTCAAGGAGACTTAGCAGCTACCCAATACGTACATAGAAACAAACACAGGGAAGCAGCCAAAATTCGGAGACAAAGAAACATGTCAAAGTGATGAATAGCAAGAACCTACAACCAAGATTCCTCTACACAGAAAAGCTATCATTTAGAATTGAAGGTCAGATAAAGAGCTTCACAGAGAAGAAAAAGCTAAAGGAGTTCATCACCACCAAACCAGTATTATATGAAATGCTGAAGGGTATTCTTTAAGAAGAGGAAGAAAAAGAAAAAGGTAAAGATAAAAAATTATGAACAATAAAGTGATGACAAATACATATCTATCAACAAGTGAATCTAAAAATCCAATGAATAAAAAATCTGATGAACAGAATAAACTGGTGAATGGAATAGAATCAGGGGTATGGAAATGAAACAGACTAATGATTCTCAGAGGGAAGGGGGTGTGGGGGGGTGCAAGAAGATATTAGACAAAGATCTTATATGCATGTATGCATTACCTATGGACACAAACAATAGGGTGGTAAGGGCCTGGGGTGGGGTGGAAACTGGGTAGAGGGGAGCGATGGGGGAAAAAAGAGGGACATCTGTAATAATCTCAACAATAAAGATTAATGAGGGAGGAGGAGGAGGAGGAGGAGGAGGAGGAGGAGGAGGAGGAGGAGGAGGAGGAGGAGGAGGAGGAGGAGGAGGAGGAGGAGGAGGAGGAGGAGGAGGAGGAGGAGGAGGAGGAGGAGGAGGAGGAGGAGGAGGAGGAGGAGGAGGAGGAGGAGGAGGAGGAGGAGGAGGAGGAGGAGGAGGAGGAGGAGGAGGAGGAGGAGGAGGAGGAGGAGGAGGAGGAGGAGGAGGAGGAGGAGGAGGGAAATTGGTTGTTACAGAATAGTTATAGGGATGCAAAGTATAGCATAGGATATATAGTCAATAATATTCTAATAACTAGGCATGGTGTTGGATGGGTGTGGGATTTATTGGGATGATCACGTATTAAGTTATATAATGTCTGGTCACTGGGGAGTATAAACATTATTTTTAATTTAAAAATTCCTGTACCCAGGTCCTTGGCATAGAAGTGAAGATTCAGGGCTTTTGGGTATAATGAATAAAGATCAAATTACATCCCCATTGACTTGCAAAGTATTATTTAAAATTTCTTGGTTTGTAAAATGTGATAATGGTTCTAATTTCACAAATACATTCCAAGTTCTCAAGGAGGTATTTATAGGCTGCATTGTCTGTCATTTTTGAAAGGTAGTGGTGATGGTTTATACCAGGAGTGGGGAACATCTGGCCTGCAGGCCATATAAGGCCCCAGAAATCATTTGGTCTGGCCCTGCCAAACATTAAGGGCAAGTTAAATAAATGTTTGACCAAATGTAGCAGGCTAATTTTTAAGTTAGTAATTTTGTTTGGCCCACAAATGGTATTATAACTACCCAAATGTCCCTAGGCAGAAAAAAAAAAAGTTCCCCACCCTTGATTTATACGATGTATTATGATGTGTGCCTCTGTGCCCTGTTTCACTGTGTATTCTTAACCTGATTGTATTTTATCTGAGCTCAAGACCCATAAATCTAACTATGTGCTTCACATCCAATTTTGGATTGTTCCGGAGCACATCAAATATAGTATGTCATGTCCAAGACTGAACCCCTGATCTCTTGCTAACTTATTCCTGCTAACTTAGCCTTCTTCTTTCGTACCTCACTTCAGCAACTAATACATCATTCATTGCTTAAGCCTAAAAATACAGATGACATTTTTTACTTCCCTCCTTTACTACAATACCATCCTATTTGTCTCTTACTTATTCTACCCCTAAAATCCATTTATACACTGAAGCCAGAATAATTTTTTTGTTTTGTTTTGTTTGTAATCCTCACCTGAGGATAAGTTTTGCATTGATTTGAGAGAAAGAGAGAGAGGGGAGCGGGGGGGGGGGGGGGGGGGGGGGGGGAGAGAGAAAGATGGAGAGAGGGAGAGAGAAATGTGAGAGAGAAACATAGATTGATTGCCTCCCATACTTGCTCTGACCAGGGACAGAACCTACAACCTGGGCATGTGCCCTGACCGGAATCAAACACCTGATCCCTCATATGAATGGGATGATGCTCTAACCAACTAAGCCACACCAGCCATGGCCAGAATTATTCTTAAAAAATACAAATCAAATCATGCCACCCCCTTCCTTGAAATTTTCAAACTTTTTTTTCCCAGCTTAAGGTTAAAGAAAAATGTTCTGTAACTGAATTTAAAGATCATTTATGGCTCCTCTGTACCCTTCTATCATATAGTCCTCTCCCCTTATGATCTGAATTATAGTCACACTGTTCACATTTTTATATAAAAATCATGTAGTTTGAATTATTGTGTGGTTACTTTTAAACATTTTTAAAAATATATATTTTTATTGATTTCAGAGAAGAAAGGAAAGGGGGAGAGAGATAGAAATATCAATGATGAGAGAGAATCATTGACCAGCTCCCTCCTGCACACCCACTACAGGGTACTGAGCCCACAACCCAGGCATGTGCCCTGACTGGGAATTGAACTGTGACCTCTTGGTTCATAGGTCAATGTTCAACCACTGAGATACTCCATCCAGACTTTATATTATTTTCTCTTCTTTTTACCTTTAATTTCATTCTCTTCCTTTGAATTGGTTTCTTCCTTCCTCCTTTCTACCTGCTTTCCATTTTATTTTTCTTTGAGAGCATAGCTGGAGAAATTTCTCCACTGGAATTTCTTTCCCTGACCCCTATCAGGCTTCAGGCTTAATCTGGCTGAATAAGGTAAATCTTTCCTTTCCTTTCTTTTCAATTTATCTGCATTCTTACTTTAGTCAGATCATAAGTATTTTTAAAATATATATTTTTATTGATTTCAGAGAAGAAGGGAGAGGGAGAGAGAGATAGAAACATCAATGATGAGAGAGAATCATTGATTGGATGCCTCCTATATGCCCTTCACTGGGGATGGAACCTGCAACCCAGGCATGTGCCCTGACCAATAATCAAACTGTGACCTCCTGGTTCATAGGTTGATGCTCAACCACTTAGCCAAGCCAGCTGGCAGATCAACATTTTAAACAATTATGTTCTAGGTATCAGATATTTTTCTTTATTAGATTTCCTCCATTATAATTTATGCTCCCAAATCTATTTCAGTAGTTGGTAGAGAAACAATGTTTATTATTTTTCATTATTCTAATGGGCATTCATTTGAAGGAAGAAATGGAAAAAATAGTGTTTTAACTGTATTTACCCAAGTAGCAGGAAAAAGGCAAATTAAAATTATGGCAAAATATTTATCCATTTCACCCACTTGGAAATATCTCTAGAGACAAAGAAAAGCTCCATAAAGAGTCTACTTGATTAAATTTTTGCTTTCTAGGACTTAATTTTCTTATCTACAAAATGAAATAACTGGATAAATTAAACACTAAGATACACCTCACCATATCAGATTAAAATGTTTATTCATGAATGAGGCTAGGAGTATATTTGTAGAACCAACTGCCAAAGGAGATGAGGTTAGGAGATGAGTATAGGGTAAGAGTCAAGATACAAAAGACTTAGAAGGCCAGGTGAAGGGAATTGAGAATGAATATTCCCACATATTCTCACAAACCAGTGAAAGTCTGAGTATCCTGGACTAATCTGCTCAAAGGAGCTGGGAGGTGCCTAGAGAGAGGGCTGCGGGTCTAAAGCAGACTCCCAAGCCAGTGCCAGAACTGGCAAGGACAGGCATAACTGTCATCATTGAGTCCTCACTCTGCAGAACCACACCCTGGCCTGGGCCAATCTGCTCACAGGAGCTGGGAGGGCAGGGGCCAGGGCTGGACATAAAAGAAGAGCAGGGTTAGCTGGTGCTTACACTTGCTTCTGACACAACCGTGTTCACTAGCAACTACACAAACAGCCACCATGGTGCATCTGACTGCTGATGAGAAGGCCGCTGTCTCTGGCCTGTGGGGCAAGGTGAATGTGGATGAAGTTGGTGGTGAGGCCCTGGGCAGGTAGGTATCCAGGCATAAGGAGAGTGAGTGGAAGCTGGGTGTGTGAGTTTCTGACAGGCACTCACTCCCTCTGTCCTCTGTGCTGCATTCACCCCTCAGGCTGCTGGTGGTCTACCCCTGGACTCAGAGGTTCTTCACCTCCTTTGGGGACCTGTCCAATGCCGCTGCTGTGATGGGCAATAGTAAGGTGAAGGCCCATGGCAAGAAAGTGCTGAACTCCTTCGGCGAGGGTCTGAAGAATCTCGACAACCTGAAGGGCACCTTTGCTAGCCTGAGTGAACTGCATTGTGACAAGCTGCACGTGGATCCTGAGAACTTCAAGGTGAGTCTAGGAGATGTTCTACTTTTTGCTTTTCACTTTCTAGGCTTTCTCTTTGGTTCTTCACCTACCCGTTCTTCCAGGTTCCTTTTAACCTTACCATATTTCATTATTTAATGCTTTTCAAAATGTATATAGTTTTATATTTTTTTTCTTTCAATATAATACTCTTTTCTGTCTCACAAACTTTTTTTTTATCAAGCTGCTTCTCTAATGTCTTATTCTTTCACCTCTTTCTTTTTTCCCACCCAATTTTCCTTCTCCCTAGCCAGTACTCAAATTATATATATTAACTTTCACCTGCTGCCTCTACATTTAGAAAATTCCTCCATAAGGGGGATGAAAAGACTCATCTCTCCTCAAAGTGGAGAGATGACTTTTACTGTTATTCTAGAAGCTATAAATAAATAATTTTAAAATTGAAAAATAGTCTGAACTTTACAGCATCCATACTCAATGGAAAGGAAAAGAAAGTCAATATTTTAGGATGAAAAGACCAGAAGTAGGAAGTAGGGCAGCATAGTTGCTGCAGACAGTACATCATCTCACTAATTAATCAGTTATTAATGTATATAATATTTATCATAAATATATGCATTTATTTATATATAGACATGCAAATATTTACTCATTTATGCTGGTAAGGATAACCTGAGGATCAACTTGGGCTTAAGTGTAGGCAGGAAAAAATTATTGTTGGCCCACTTTCCCCAAAGCCAAGCTACTAATCATTGTATATGTCTTCCTCACAGCTCCTGGGCAACGTGCTGGTGGTTGTTCTGGCTCGCCACTTTGGCAAAGAATTTACCCCTCAGGTGCAGGGTGCCTTCCAGAAGCTGGCACTTGGTGTGGCCACTGCCCTGGCTCACAAGTACCACTGAGTCCTGGCCTGTGTCCTGGTGACCTTTGGAAAACTCTCTTTCTCCAGATTCTGATTTCTTAACTTGGGGAAGTAATGCCCATTCTCAAGAGTCTGGCTTCTGCCTAATAAAGAACTTTCAGCTCAACTTCTTGATTCATTTCACTTATTTTATTATTATTATTTTTTCCTCTGGGGGTATAGGGACATCCATGAGGATCTATGTATAGGGAGCTCTTGTGTCTTATACAAGGAGGTCAAGGGAAATGAGAAAAGGAAGGGGACCACACACAATCATTAAAAGCTGACACTTCTACCTCCAAAGCATAGGACTTTCCAAAGAGTTCTGAAATATGGAGAAGATTCCTGCATTGCAGGGGCTCTATGGGGGACCTCAAACCTAAGATATGGCCTTCAGGCTAATGCTCTGATCCATTTCCTACAACTACTCAAAATATGATATGCTCAATTAGAGACATAATGCATGCTCAAGACACTTAAGTTTTCCTTTTTACTACGTTCCTTGCCTGCACATTGTAGCCCCTAACACTAGACTCCATCAGGTGTTCTTGCTCTAAGAAATAACCTACTTTTTTCACTTGTCTCAGAACACCTCCAAAACTAGTCCCCATACCTCCTTCAGACACAGTTTAATGCTTGGATATCACTTGTGACCATTTTTGACACTGGCTTCAATGAACTTTATAAAATTGCCTAAGGGAATCTTTTCAACCCCCTCCACATTTTTCACATTTCTTATCCATCACACTAATTTTCTATGCTGTATAAACATTTCTGCCTATTTAGTACTATCCCACATGAGTACTGTGCTTAAAGTTCCTCTATAGGCAGTGAAGAAATATTTATTAAATGAAATCAATCAATTAGTAGGTAATTATTCCTTGTGTTAGAACTCCTGGGACCAATAGACCAATAGACCAATGCACAGAGTTCCTTGGGTGTTAATGATACAATATAAAATGCGGAAGCATTTAGGAAAGTAAAGCACTGATCAGACATTTGTTTTCTAATCATAGCTAGTAAGATATCTCTGAAGGATTTCTAGAACTTTCTAACTTGTACACATTTCCTTAATTCTATATAATTTCTTGTTAATTAATTTTAGACTTGACTACCTGAAATAGACCCTTTTGCTTCCTTTTGTATGAAAGTGTTTTCATAATTACTGTGGGTATATTATCAGGATATAGACAACATATTACAGTTTATGGTTTTACCACTATATTTTGAATTGCCTGAGGGCAGAAGTTTTTATATTTTTTTTATTTTTCTTCTCAGGTCATTGTACATGGTGGACACTTAGAACTGTTTATATCTGCATAGGATATTTAACAACCATGGACTCAGAGACACCCAGAAGGTGCTAGGGAGATTATTTCCACATCCTTCATCACAGAAAAGTTCTTGTAAGAATCAGATATGCCGAGAGAAAGAGACTTTCAGAGAAATTGAAAAAGAGTAAGAGAAATTGTGGGTGTCATAGTCTCGAAAGGAGTAAAGAAAGTATCCTTCTTTCCTCCAAATGATTATGAAAAGAACAAAAATACAAAAAGGCTTACTATACTCTTTGTTCCTTCAACTCTGGAACTAACCAATGAATCAAGACAAGAGATTGGGCCTAAAAGTTCCAATACTGAAATTAAAAATGTGTCTTAAAAATGAGTTAAACTACCATATTCCTAAACTATTCTGTGTTTATGTTCTTTGTTTCTATGAATTGTGCTCTTTCTGGAGTACCAGTATTTTCACTTCATTTCATTTTTGAGAGGATGCCAAACAGAAGTAACCAAGAGATTGTGCATGTGGAAGAAAAAAGCAAAAAATAACTGTGCTTGTCTGAGGAAAATAGAGATTAGATTGCCAAGATGGTCTTCTTGGGGAATTTAGAATTGAACACTAGAGCATGCACAAAATGTTCTAGTTGAGTGCAATTTTTTAAACAAATGAAAAAAACACCCATGCACCTCTGGATGAGTGTCATGATTCTCTTGAAGGAAGTTTATACTTACCCTCTTAGTCATACTCAGACTAGGCCCATTCTGGTACAAAACATTAGGAATTAGGTTAACTTGACAGAATGGAGTAAAGGAAAAAAGCTTCTGTTTTGGAGGGGTGTGTGTGTGTGTGTGTGTGTGTGTGTGTGGTTAGTGCTCAGTGGGTATGGAGTCAAAGTAAAGCAGACATCCTGAGGTACCTCTTCCCAGGATAGACTGAAGCTCACAACAGTGACAATGGGGCTAAGAAGCTTCCCAGAACCTTTCAATGCTGATCTGTATTTGAGCCTGGGGCTTTGAACATAGCCACATTTATTATTATTTATACATTCTCAATTTTGTCTGGTATGTCCCTGAGCTTTTGATGTCTTATTATAACTTGCAGCCTTGTCCTTGCAGGGTTTTGGGTAATAAAAGGAAAAGTCTGTTTTACTCTTCAGTCATTTGAAGTAGAAATAGTGAGAGAAAGCAGCAACTTCTGTCCTGAAACCAGGAAGACAGTGGCAGCAGCCACTGCTGGTACAAGAGTGACCCTTAGATCATTTATGGCCAAAGAAGATTTAAGAAAGACTTCTGTTACATATGTGTTGCCAGTGATCGCAAAGGAAAGAGAAAGGTGATTCTATACCTCAGGGCACCTGAATCAGGAGAAGAATCTAAGGTAGGAGACACATGGACATAGGAAGTAGTGATGATTAAAATTAGGGAAAATAATTATCAGGCCCTCGGGGAACCCAAAGGTCCTGTACCCAGCTCAGAACTACTTGCTAATTTAGGCCTTTTCATTGTATCTTTTAATAACAGGTAGAAGAAATTTACACTTTCTTTCCTAGCCTGAGAAGTTAACAGAATTTATTACATGAGAAAAAAGAGCTCCAGGGGTTATATGGGTGGGGCAGGGCATGGGTATTAGAAAAGCTGTAGAGATAAAAGAGTAAATTTTAGTAAAAGAAGGTTTAAACAAATAAAACATGGGTGATGAATTTGCATCAGAGAAATGATTATACACACAGAATGCTTAGTGGCCTAAGGAAAAAATAACAGCCACTAAGGCAGGAATGCCTTTCCACTTTCCCACCCCTTCTTTTAAGTCACAGAACACTTCTCTATTCTCTCAGATTCTGGTATTTTCTTTCCCAGTTCAGTCCAGGAAGAAAAAATTTACGTGTCCCTGGTTAGTATTTTAACACATTGTTCCCTTCAGTGTTACTGACAATTTGGGGTTGTAATTGATTTTTTACTTATCCGTATGTCTTACAACATTGAGAGACCTCTAAGTTTCTATCTGTGGATCCCCAAATCTAATAGGGCAACTATTTCACAGAACATTCCTGATTTATATTTATTTTACTTTTTAATCATCATTTTTATTTGGTTATATGAGTTTTTTTAAATGAACAAAGTAGATATTTTCTTGCCATGAGGATATGATCCAAACCAAGTAAAGAAAGATATACTTAGAACTGGGGCAAAGGTATCATCCATGCTGTCCTTATAAATATGTGTATCCTGAAGACAGGAGTGAACCATCCATATACCCTTAAGTTGAATTTTCTGGACCTCAGATTCTTCATTTGTCAAATAAGAAAACTGAGGAGGTGAACTCTAAGACATTACCAGGCTGTGATTCTAGAAATCATATAAGCAAATTTTTTAAGGAGGGTGATTTTAAGTAGCAATTTGTACTCCTGGATGGGACTTTGAGATGCCTAGAGAGGGCTGCGGGTCTAAAGCAGACTCCCAAGCCAGTGCCAGAACTGGCAAGGACAGGCATAACTGTCATCATTGAGTCCTCACTCTGCAGAACCACACCCTGGCCTGGGCCAATCTGCTCACAGGAGCTGGGAGGGCAGGGGCCAGGGCTGGACATAAAAGAAGAGCAGGGTTAGCTGGTGCTTACACTTGCTTCTGACACAACCGTGTTCACTAGCAACTACACAAACAGCCACCATGGTGCATCTGACTGCTGATGAGAAGGCCGCTGTCTCTGGCCTGTGGGGCAAGGTGAATGTGGATGAAGTTGGTGGTGAGGCCCTGGGCAGGTAGGTATCCAGGCATAAGGAGAGTGAGTGGAAGCTGGGTGTGTGAGTTTCTGACAGGCACTCACTCCCTCTGTCCTCTGTGCTGCATTCACCCCTCAGGCTGCTGGTGGTCTACCCCTGGACTCAGAGGTTCTTCACCTCCTTTGGGGACCTGTCCAATGCCGCTGCTGTGATGGGCAATAGTAAGGTGAAGGCCCATGGCAAGAAAGTGCTGAACTCCTTCGGCGAGGGTCTGAAGAATCTCGACAACCTGAAGGGCACCTTTGCTAGCCTGAGTGAACTGCATTGTGACAAGCTGCACGTGGATCCTGAGAACTTCAAGGTGAGTCTAGGAGATGTTCTACTTTTTGCTTTTCACTTTCTAGGCTTTCTCTTTGGTTCTTCACCTATCCGTTCTTCCAGGTTCCTTTTAACCTTATCATATTTCATTATTTAATGCCTTTCAAAATGTATATAGTTTTATATACATCCCTAAGGACTACACAGAACCATTTAGTTTCTTGTGCCTTCTTTGCTCACAACTATTGCTTCCTCTTTTTATTCTCGTTCTTTTTTTCTTTTCTTTTCATTTTCTGCAATGTCTTCTCTTTATTTTTGAAGTAAACTGTTTATTTTGAGTGTTTAATTTTTACAAAATAATACTCCACTTAAAATAACCTATACTCTCTCTCCTTTATGTCTTCTTTTCAAATGTGCTATTACTTCTTTGAATGGTTCTAAAGAATAATAGTGTCCTGGCCAGTTTGGCTCAGTGATAGATCATTGGCCTGTAGACTGAAGGGTCCTGGGTTTGATTCTGGTCCAGGGCACATGCCTGGGTTGTGGACTTGACCCCCTGTGGGAGGCGTGCAGGAGGCAGCCAATGGATGGTTCTCTATCATCATTGGTGTTTCTCTCTCTCTCTCTCTCTCTCTCTCATCCTTCCTCTCTGAAATCAATAAAAATATATTTAAAAAGAATAAAAGTGATAACTTAAGTTCTGGGGTAAGACAGAAAGGGAAGAATGTTATCAAGTAAAAATTCAGCCTGATGTGGATGGATTTGCATCAATAGTAACATCAGAGATCCTACTATCTTTCTGCTTATATTTG